ATAAAATCACATGATTTTAAGTTTTCACTATATATAATCACCATAGTATATCTTTTATATAATTGGTGATTATAAATAGATTTACTATATATAATCACTGTAGTATATCTTTTATATAACTGGTGATTATAAATGGGTTTTATTTATAATCATCCCTATCTATAATCACGTAATTTTTAAAAACCAAAAGAGGTGATTATAGATAGATCTGACTGTATAGCAGATATACTTATATTATAATGTCGATTATTTTACTGATTATATATAATTGAATTATCATATTATATAAAATTAGCTGATTCAAAATTCAAAGTTTTAGGCGAAACAGCATATGATTTAAATATTATAAATTAAAAAATTTGATATTTTGGATTATTTATAATATATTTCTAAAACAATAAATCAAGATCAAGTATTTTACATAAGTTAGCTTAGGGCTGAAATAAATAATTAAGTAATTTATATAATAAATTAATAATTTTAGACTTCAAAGAATTGGGCAAAGTTACATATGTAAGGGAGAACTGTGTTAATCATTATATTTCATATTTTAAATTATGTAGAAAATAATATAAAAGTATTACAATAAATTTTAAACAATACAAAAGTTAGCTTTGAGACAACTTTTTGAATATTTTATATATTAATCATATGTTATTATAATTATATTAATTTTGGCAAGATGTTGCTTCTAGTATAACTTTACCCAATAATAATTATATTTCGATAAAATTTAATATGTTATTTCATTATATTAAAATGCAGCTATTTGTAAAAATTTAACATATATTATGTAGGATTTCTGATCAGAGCATTTTTATATGTGATAAAAATGGCATGTCCGCTATGCTCTCTTTTACTACATTAAATTTCCGATATAAATTATCCCACCTATATCTACAGAAATTTCGAAAATTTAATCATTATTAAAACTAAAAAATTATTTAATATTAAAAGAACAAGAACATTTGCCTAATTTATTATTGTAGAACAGCCAATTTATAATTCACTATTTTTTAAAATATGTTATAATCAATCCCCTTGCATGCAAGATTATTTTGGGTTTAGTAATACCCTACGGAATTATTTTTAAAAAGAAAAGAAATAAATAAATTAATCAACAAGTTAATTATAAAATAATCTTCTCATATTATCTCACCAATCGTTCTTTTCAAATTTGTAACTTATTCCGAATTTCTTGGAAAGTTATATGGGTTGATTGCTAGAAAAATCAGGTTCCAGGAATTTTTTAACAAAATTGAGATTTTTATTGCATTTTAGTTTTTGATGTTTTTTGATGTTTTTGATGTTATTAGATTAAAATGTAATAAGATCTTAATTTTTTTAGTCAAAAATTTTCTCGGAACCTGATTTTAGAAATCCTCCCATATAAACTTTTGCTTCGTTAGGTATGTAGAATTGAATTTGACTTTGGGATAATGACGCTTTCTTCTTGAAAAGTGGAAGTAATGCTTCCTTTTTTTATAAAGAACTACCGGGGTATAATTAAAAGCATTGCCCAGTAAACATATGGGGCTTCGTCAATAGAAACGCACCAACTTACTTGGTAATTAATTCTGTTTGATGGTGTGTTTCTATTGACAGAGATTTCGGGATTTAGAACTACTTTTACCAAGAATAATGTTTTTCTTTTAAATCAGGATTGGTCTAAAAATAATATTGGTTTTGAATCTAATGCATCGATATTTGACGCAAAGCAATATTTTTTTTTGGAAAAAACGGTTTCAAATTCTTTATGTCATTCGACTTTGAGTATGTGGAATTTCGCTTCGAAGTATTAGAAAGACGAACCATAAGATGTGACGATCATACTTTCCGTTACGGTTCTAATAGTAAAAATTTAGGGAAAGTCCTTTGTTTTATTCAGTATCATATTCAAGTGAATCCCAATCTTCAAGTTTCAAATCAAGGACCGCACCATAAAGTTAAAGGTTTTCGCAATTACTTTTTTTTTCCTATTGCAATATACCTCTTGAAAAACCGGTTAAATTATATAATGAAAAGACACGGGACCACGGGACATGAACGATTTACTGTTGGCCATTAAATAAATTATATAATACTTAAAAAAAACTTCAAATAATTAATCTTATAATTAAAAGATACTATATGACATTAATCAAAACTAATGTAAAATGCAAAACAGCGATCCCAATCTTTAAATAGTTATTCTTAATATATAAATGATAGATTTTGTTTGGTTGATCTTTATTTATGGTGTATTTTCTCACATTCTTTTAACAACATAACGATCTAATAATCATTAAAATATGCCAAATCTGAGGGTAAATATCATAAGCATTCTTCACGATTTATTAAATTTTTTTAATGAAATGCTCACTCGATCTTAAACTTTGTTATTAGACAACGTTTACAAATATACCACCGACCTCTAAAGCAATAGCGTTTATAATAATATGTTCATCAGGGCTTGGAGTGTTACAAAATGTTAAACAATGGCTGAATATAGGACCTACTTCCCCTCCAAGTCTCTCACAAGGCTTGGCTCTTGTACCAAATTCTGCACTTTGGGAATTTTGGACGTTTATAACCGCGAGTTTTTATGAAACAAATTTAATAAACGTAGGTGGATTCACTTGTTTGAAACGTCGGTTATTTTTCGAATTCTGACTAATTCTTATTATCATTCAGTTCATAGGAAGTGTTCTTACAATACTTGGAATGGGAAAATATTTAGAGAGAGCATGGGGATCTAGAGAGTTTTTAAAATTTATAGGAATTGTGATGATCGGAGCCAATATATGTGTCGTTCTAACATATTTATGTGAATATGCTATCACAGGATCTCCATTTTACTTGTAAGTGACACTGATTTACGCAATATTATACATTTTTACGCGTATCATTAATTTCTATCTTTTTTTTTTTTTTCAATTAGATTTCGTGTAATAAATGGTATGAATGGGTTGATTAGCGGATTTTTAGTAGGATTAAAACAATTGATACCAGAACATTTATTAAAACCAGTTAAAGGGTCATCGTTATGTAGAGTAAAGCATTTACCAAGTTTATTTATAATCGTGAATTTTGTGTGCTTTTTATTGTTTGAATCACAAACACAATTACTTCTAGTATTTTATGGTAGCTTGATTTCTTGGGTGTACTTGAGATTTTTTAAATATCAAGATGGTTTACGTGGAGATCGTAGTGAAACCTTTTCCATGGCCAGTTTCTTTCCGGAATTTATTCAGTAAAGTATATGTATAGTCGTTATATATATAATTTTTTTTTTAATTTTGTTTTTTCATGATTACTTATTTTTTTTTCATTTCATTTCATTTTTATTTTCTTTTATTTTTAGACCTGTCGTGAAAATCATTTCTAACATCGTATTTAACCTTTTGGTAATGTTAAAATGTTGTAAACCGATTTCAAAGAGGAGATTTCCAATAGACTTGGAAAACCTTCCAACGACTTATATACCATCCATGCCAGGTAGTCAAAGGGCTGAAGCGGAAAGAAGAAGGTGCGTTATACTCCTTTTTTCTTTTTAGTGCAATGTTCTCGTGTAATTAAATTTTTGTCGCGTGAATTTTAAATTCCTTTACGCTTAAATGATCTTGATAGGGCGTTGGCATTAAAAGCATTGGATGCCAGATTACATAACAAATCAAATTATGACCCAATGTCACCACCGCCATTTACCTCGTCACCATCATCTTATACTGCTTCTTCATCTGAAAACGTTAATGGAATCACCACACAACCAAATGATGTTTTATTTGATGCAAAAGACCATTTAAAACGAGACTTGTAAAGAATAAAAAAAAATGGTTCGGAAAGAAAGTTCTCAATGAAAACAAGTAGAAAGTACTATGAGAGAATGGTCCGTATATATACAATACACATAATATATACATGTTTCTATTTCATTTTATAATATACCTAATTACTTTGCCTTGGTTATTAAATACATATATATATCTTAGAACATTATATATTCAAATCTTGCATTATCAATAATAATAACTCAATAATATTTAATGTCTAATGATGAATGTAGTCTTTTTTTCTTTCAGAACAAAAAGTTTATTTAATAAAAAAAAAAAAAAAAAAGGAAAAAAAAAAAGTTAATAAAGTTGATTCGGAAATCAATCATTGTCATTATTGTTTGTCGGATAAGGCCTCGCTAATTCGTTTAATGGGTGGTAATATTGGTGGCATAGTATGATTGTTTTTGTCTAGAGTAATGGACGGGATTTCTTCATGATTAGTTTCTAAATTAATATTAATAAAGTTATTGTTCAACTCTTCAATGTACGATGTCGTCGTCTCATAAGTTGCCTCATTTTCATCAAACAAAATCAGATTCTCTATAGGTTTCAAAGGAGATGCAATCGCATTCACATTAACCATTTCCATTGTCTTCAAATTTACAGCTCCGTCCATGCCCGATGTGCTAACATTCACGTTAGTCTCAAATAATATCTTGACCTTCCCCGCGGCACTTGCCGAATCATCTTGTTCATTTAAAGATAAATCGCTTGTATTTTGGGGCTGACCATAAAATTGGGAGATGTCGTCATCATATCCTTGGAAATAATATTGTTTATTATTTAAAAGGAAAGGGGAAGTAGCTGGTATAGAAGGCAACGGTGGTGAAAGTTTATTTAATACATGTGATGCACGTTTACGTATATCTTCATCCTTAATCGTATCCAAGATGCGATTAATTAAAGGCAAACATGGCAATAATTTTGAATGTGACATTGAGGGAACTATTTCCACGAGTGAATGAATGAATGATTGATTGATTGATAAAGGTTAGCATGTAAATCTTTAAAATCGCAATTATTCAAAAATGCTTTCGACATGCCATACCTTCGGTTGATAAATTATCTAATGCTCTCACAATATGTCTTTGAATCTCTACGTCAGCAACAGGTGAATCTCCGATAGCAATGAGTGTAGGTACAATACTACTAAAGGATTCTTCTTCTGACTGTTGAAGGTGAACATCTTGTTCTATTTCCTCGTCTACCCCTCCTTTTTCATCTGTCATAGACATTGGGTAAGATAGCATACGCGCCTTATTCTCTTCTTTGGAATTCAAAATAAAAAATATGTTAGAAAGAATTAATATAAGATTGTAGTTGAAATGAAGGTATTTACCGTATAGAGCGAAGTTTGCTAATAATCTCGCTACATGTCTATATATACATATTTATTTTAAAAAAAATCGAGGGTTTTTTATTTTTTTATTAAAGAAATTCATTATTAAAATCAAATAGTAATATTTGATAATTTACCTCTGAATTTCTTTATCTGTGATAAAACAACCAACCACTTGGCATAAATTTGATAATAAAGATGGTTGACTAATCAAAAGTTGTTGTGATTCAACTAAAAATAAAAATGATGAGATAACGTGTTAAATGATCCAAAGATATTGCAAAGAGGGAAAAAATCTTTTTTTCATTCTTAATTTAATAATTACCGTTCGTCGCCAAATTAGCCTAACAAATAAAATAAAATAAGATTATTAAGATTTTATAAAGAAAACTTTTTTTGGGGGGGAGGAGATAAACGTACCATAGCACAACACGCATGAGATATTGTAACTTGATTGGCTTTTGCTGAATTTTCGTCAGCAAGCTCAATAACAGAAGTTAATGCTTCGGCTCTACCATCTTTAATCAGAGCAGACTTGTATTTGTCTGGAAAATCAATTGTAACAAGGTTAACACTTAAAATTTGTAAACAAAATTTATCCCAAATCCAACCTACCATTTCTCAATGATAAATACGCAATGGATTTGGCAGCATATTTACGAACTTCATAAGAACTAGAATGTAATAAATCCATCAATCCATCCAATCCAATTTTAGGATTTTCAAAAATTAAAAGTTGGTGTGATGCTGAAAAAAAATCATTAAAATTTAAATACTTTTTATCTTTGACAAAAAAAAAAGGGGGGGAATATATATGACTTACGATTAACCGCTAGACATGAAATAGTTTTTGCAACCAACCCTCTCGCTATTTCAACGCGCAAGCGCATTTCTTCATAAGATAAAAGTACATCTTCATCTAATGCTTCATCTTCTGTTAGTGTTTCTAATTGAAAATTTGCCAACTTCATTATTGATTCTAATGCTCCTACATCTGTTAACATCCGCTGACATAAAGAACCTTTTGAATATATAATATTTATATTATTATAAAAAAAAAGAGAATTTTTAAAATCAAATTTTTTTTGAAGTGAATTTATCATTTTTGAGAGAGAAAGAAAAATTCTACCCTACCTGTAGCGGATAATAAATGAAGGATATTTCCAATATTCAATATGATAGTAGAAGCAGAATCCAAAAATTTTGCCGCATTTGAATCTAATGATGAAGTATCGGAACTTAATTTTCTACAATAAAATGATATTAAATTATATAAATAAGGAAGTCCCCCTTTCATGATAACGTAAGGTTTAAATGATTCTAAAGAACAATAAAGAAAAAAATCTTTTTATTAATGACATGAATCAAATTTATTTTACTTTCTTTTGGGGAAATGAAAGAATTTACCGTATCCTGAAAGATTAGCTAATGCCGTTGTCCCTAATTGATGTATATCATTAGTATGTAGTGATCTACATAAATAAACCAACGCGTCTAATCCACCATAAGTAATGAAATTAGACAACTCATATTCTAAATGAGGACGAAACTTTTTAATACAAAAAATGTTTATTTATACAAACGAAGAAAAAACACATTTTTTATTCATGAAATGAAATACCATTTCCACGTTCCACGATATCAAGTAATCCCCTAGCACCATGCGTCTACCAGATGAAATCAAAATTTTCTTTTTTTAAAAAAAAAAAAAAAAAATCAAAAAAAATTTATTAAAAAAAAGGTTATACCTTGGTAGATTTTTCTTCAGAAATTACATATCCGACAAGGTAAGCGATTTCAAAACATTCATTGCAAATCCTTTCAGGTGTTACATAACCAAATTGGGGCAATGAAATTTTCCTTGATGTACAATCCTGACAAAAAATATTCCCACTATATTTTTTTAAAAAAAATTTTACAAATAAGGTTTTTTTGATATAGTTGATGTATATTTTATTTTGTTGCTTACCATTGGCGACAATGATGCTAAAATGATTACACATACATGTAAATTCGATGAGACCAAAACCAATGAAAATAAAAAAAAAACCAAAATAAAAAATAAAGATAAAAATGAACCCAAACCTTTCTTCTGAGAGCGGTAAAGCCAATACCGCAGCCTTTACAATTTTTTACGGTTACATCATCAACCCAAACAGGTCTAACCAATAAAAATCCGTCCAACAATTCATTTTGAAACAATGAAATATTTTTAGAATGATTATTAGACATTTTAAATTATTATAAGTAAGAATAATAAATAGGAAGGATAAAAGTAAAATAGAATTAATTACAAAATGAAAGGGAAAAAAGTAAAACGAAAGGTTAAAAATTAGTGTTATTTATATTTGAAAATTGATTGAGAAATTTAACCAATAAGAAAGCTCCAGGTGATGCAGTTAATCAAATCAGTATCTGCAAAATGGAAACACAAACAAATACATTATTGCGTGTAATAAATCATAACACGGGACATTCGACACAAAGCAAACCTTGTTCATTTCTCGATATCCAGATATCTAAATATATATTGATCAATCAAATACTAATTCCAGCCAGTTGAGCATGCTGGTCAAATTAAATCAACATGACCAAGGTTACCCTGCCTTTTCGACTTATTTTATTTGAAGGATTTATTAATATCTGAAACGAATATTAAAAATTTTAAACGTCCGAAATAAACGGAAAATTTATTGATTGGCTATGATAAATTTAACAAGTAGAACGATGAGATTATATTAGGTAAAACATTATATTTATTTAATTCAGGCCGAAATACTTTGTCAAATGAAATGATCCTCCTCACTAAGATTGCACAGCGTCACACAAATTACGTCAACATAGAATTAAGCAAGTTTAATAAATTTGCATATCATTATCTTGTTATTTTTTTTTTTCATTCAATATTCAATGTTAGACTTGATTTTCTGCCAAAACCCAAAATCATTGTAAATTTGTTCCGACAAAATTCTTCTTTACAAATAATAAATAACTTTACTTATTAGCATCGTTATTTACGATTCATCCATTTCAATGAACAGATTCAACAGCACTTATCAAACCTTTAATGATCAGTAATTTCCATTCTAAATTTTAAAAACATATCATATAGGACCAATTAATTTCATAAACAAATTGAGATCCAATAATATTTACGAATTAATTACACGGCCGTATATGATTATTATACTTTGTCCGTGGAGTAATTTTTCACGGACAGAGTTTATTTATACTT